ACTTTGGGACAAATACTTTATAGAGTCTCCAATAAATGAAATAAAACCAGTCTTAGGTACTCGTAATGTCAAGAATTTACAGCAACAACTAATACGTAATAAATAATATTCATTCAATCTGATTATGTTAAAAATTATAATTAAAATTTCTGGTTATAAAAATTAGAATGACTGGTTATATAAAAATAAAAATGACTGGTTATATGTTATTATGAAAATCTGGCTATATATAAGATTAAAATGACTGGTTATCTACATAATCTTATTTTGAATGTGTAGTTTACAACAAAGAGTTATATTCGTTACAATATAAGAAATTTGATCAAAATAAAATCGGTTTACAATATATGAAATCAAATTAAAAGAAAATAGGTTCATTTATTGTAAAAAACAGTGATTTTAATGCAAAACAACTTTATAAAAATTAAAATTAGAACATAACTGATTATATACGTAATCGCAAGTCATATTTAAATTCGAATAGATTAAAGATGGAAACTTGTCAATATTGCACTCTTTTTCTTCGGACCTTTTGCATTATTCCTGGTCTTATCGTTTTTTTCGGTTTTTCGAGAAGTTGCATTTTTTTTCTTGATGGTCTTGTTGTTTTTATTTGTTTTTACGCAATATTTTTTGTTTTTTATCTTGTGCTTAAATATGTAATGGAGAGTCCTGATGAACGTTTTAATATTTCAATAAAGAACATGAAACGCGTTGGCAAATTAAAATCTGCATTTCTTAAAATTAATTCTCTTGGCACAAGTCACAAATAATAAAAAACATTTTTTAATTTTTTAATTTTTCCACATGTCGACAAAATAATGGATTGCTGAAAAGCAAAGTTGGAGTGCAAGCAGATTGTATTTATCTTTTCTTCAAAATAGAGAGGTCAGTCTGTTTTTCGATGTGGCAGGTTTTCCTGATCTGTTTTTTGTAAGGTTTTCACAATTGATCCTTTTAAGGCCCTTCCCCCCACTCAAAAATCGATCTCAGCCCAGGTACGTTCAAATGGGCTGAAATTTGGAGCATATGTTGGGGCTGAAGTAGGGAGACTGTGATAAAATTTTCAGCTCGATACCCTGATGTTTGACAGAGATATGAACCAAAGAAGGGTCAAAAATAGCTCATTTTCTGGCAAGGATTTCTCGGTCCAGACTCGATTAACATATTTAAATTTTTTTTTTGTTTGAAAGAGCATCTCAGGATGGAGGGCACCATAGAGTCCTTTTTTTTAAGTCTTAGTTTTTCGCGGAGAAAGGGGCTCGCAAGTTCAATGACTCAAAAAAGGCGCCAAAAGTGGGTGTCCATTCACATAAGTGTCTGTATATATAATAAAAAACACAGCTTAATTTAAAAAAGGACTCTGTAGTGCCCTGCATCTCGACGCGCTCTTTCAAACAAAAAAAAATTTAAATATATTGACAGAGCCTGGGCCGAGAATTCCTTGCCAGAAGATCAAAAAATCATAAATCGAGAAAAAACGAAAAACATTTTTTGATTTTTCAAAAAACAGCTGGTTTTTCGAATAGGGGTTGACGGAAATCTTGAAAATTTTTGGGGAAAAATGAAGTAACGAGAAAAACAAATTATTGTTTATGAAAGAGCAGATGACGGGCTATCTTCCCATGCATTTATCTCAATTTCGAAATTTTTGAGGAAAATTGGCTTTTTCTGAGTGGGGGGCCTTAAAAGAAACTTATCTGCTAAGTTGTTTACAGTGAATTTTCAAGTATCGAGTATGAATTCAAATCCCTAATTGAAGATCTACAAGGTGCAGCTGGCTAAGTTAAATAATATATATATTCTAGTCGAGTCTCTTGTATGATTTTCTGGCAAAATCTGTGAAAAAAGCTCACATTTGTGCTTTTTCCCTTTTTGTCATACAAAAAAATAATTTTTCTACTGTTAAAAAAATTTAATAAGAATACATCTGAAATCAATATTAGAAAAGCCTGAAATATACGATTCGATGCATCTTCATCTGATCTTTCGAAGGGTACAAACCATACCTCTTCATCTTATTTCTATCAACAAATATTCATAGAACCGTGACAAATCCAAACAAAATAGATCTTATCGAAATTTTATTATTATCATATTAATGTCCATTTCAGAGATAAATGGTCGTGGATATTTTTCGAATAACTTTTGATAGGAATGAGATAGAGAGCTGTGGTTTTCACCGTTGGAAAGAGCAGATGAAAATGCATCGAATCCTGTATAGAAAGATTTTTCTAACGACTTTCCTGAAGGTTTTAGCCAAACGTTTTCAGAGAATTGCGTTTTTCTCCTACGTTAAAAACGTGATTTTTCTATCGAAATATCACAAAAAACCTCCTTTTTTCGACTATTTTGTTCAAAAACTGGGTGGGGAATTGCACTCCAATGGCTAGAATATCGTATTGGTAGTAGTTAGGAATAGAGCCTTTCCATAGTTTTTTGTAGCTCTTCATTTGGCGGTTCTAGCCCACTCCTGAAAGTCAATAAATTAATATCGCAATCATGAGAGGCATGCTGTTTTTCTTGAAGTTTTACGTAAAACCTTCAGGAGAGTCGTTTCGAGAAATCTTTCTAAATATGGTTCGATGTATTTTCATCTACTCTTTTCAACGGTGAAAATCGCAGCTCTCTATCTCATTCCTATCAAAAGTTATTCGAAAAATACCCACGGCCATTTATCTCTGAAATGGACATTAGTTGCAGTATGATCAAATAGCATGGAAAGATAGAGCTTTTCTTTCTCTGTCAGACTATATAGAGACAAAAATTTCTTTAAGTCTACTATACGGTATTAAAGTGTCACTGCCACTACTTTTGGTATGCGCCCTAAGTAATAATAATGATTAATAATTAGTGACATCTATCTTAAAGAAAGAAATTAATAATAGATTAATAAAAAAAACTTGTAATATTATTAAAAATTAATTCAAATCATAATCTATTTACAATGATTAGGATTTCAATTAAGACGATTTCATTATTCATTTATTTCAGTTAAATTGGATTGGTTAAATTACAATGAGTGTTCCTTGTTACAAATGATTCAACGCACACATACAAACGATCGATTGATTGAACTGTCGCTGTGTTTCTTTCTTCATCATATTCGTTCGTCTCGTCATTCGTTTCATTTATTTGTATATCTGGTTTTTTTTTCTTGTTTTTCTCTTCTCTGTCCTTTATCTGTCGTAAAAAATCCATACATTGTATAACATCATCTTACCCACCTATACCTATATAATTGTTCATTCAACCGACTAATAATAGTCTATTCCTTTTTTTTCGATGTCATATCTGATTTCAAGGATTTTGATTATTTTCTTTTTTTTGCTTGATTATTGATGGCAACTGCCGTTGGTGGTGATGACAACGAGTGGCAAAAATTGCCATGTGAAGAAAAAGTACAACATAAAGTATTGTTTAAAAATAAATGAATTGTTTGCAATTCTATGTAATGGGTTTTCCATTGAATTTCAGGCATGGAAAGCTCGTATGACTGGTTATGAAGAATGTGCAAAATTATTTCGTACACAAGATTCGGATAAAAGTCCTGAATTTAGTAAATATCTTGGACTTGTTAAAAAATTTGTTATTGAT